TGACCATCATCGTTGAGGTGTTCGGGGAGTTCGGGCTAACGGTGTCGGAGGAGAAGACGGAGACGCTCCTGATGCGCACACAGGACAAGCCGACTACAACATCACAGCCCGCCCCGCCTCCACCGCTGACCTTCGAAGCCGCGGGACAAAAATACGCCCAGACGACCGAGTTCTGGTACGTCGGTGGCCTCGTCAACGAACATGGCGACCTCACCCGGGAGATCAACCACAGGAGCAGAGGAGCGTGGGCGTCAGGTGATACGGCCGAGAGGTCTTCGACAGACCGCAAGCGCCGTTCCGACTCAAGACCCGCCTGCTCCAGGCGGAGGCGATGGAGGCACTGCTGTACGGCTGCATGACATGGTCACCACTCAGCGGCCACTATCAGACGCTGTGGTCGATACACCACCGACTGCTCCTTCGAGTTATCGGGTACAAGCGCAAGAAAGACACCTACCGGCAGCTCTCTTACGCCCAGACGCTGAAGAGGGTCGAATGCCAGAGCGTTGAAGCCACGATCCGACAACGACGCCTACTGTTCGCGGGAGCATTGGCAAGGCAGCCGGACGGGCGACTCCCGAAACGACTGATGTTCGGCGAACTGGTAGGGGGGGAGAAGCGACGTAGGGGGGGACAGGAACAGAACTGGCCCAAGTGTGTGCTCGACGACCTGAAGGCATTCGGGGCCGACCACGGATCTACGAAAACCGATCCATGTTGTCTCGGAATCCCGGTACCGAAAGACACGGCACCGACGTTAAAGTGGACGGAAGCCGCGAAGGTGGAGGAGGGAGTACCCTGGCATGCGGCGGTGCTGCAGGGAGCTGAGAGCTTAATGACCTCCTGGCACGAGAAGGAAGGAGAGGCCAGCCGACAGCGGGCGCTCAAACGAAACCACAAGCCACCAACCAATGTGGCGGGAGGGGCGCAGGAGACGGACGGGACGGCGAGAGAAGAAAGCAAAGGAGAAGAGACGGACCGAGTAGCGCGATACGTGCCGGATTGAATTTCTTTTAGCCAATTCTCCCCCCCTCCCCAACTCGGGTTTTCGTCGCTTGGCAACGACGTTGTAAAACAAGCTGCGCACCCCCCGGTGTTTTGCCATCGGGGTTGGGTTTTCGTCGCTTGGCAACGACGTTGTAAAACAAGCCGCCCCCCC